TCTGTTAACAGACCACCTCCAGGAAAAACAAGTTTTTTAGCCACATTTTTAGATGTTCCCTCATGGGAGACTCTATGTTAAAGTATCGTTTCAATACAAGATTTTGAAAATGGTTTACAGGTTTACAAACTTGGTGTATGCATAGACTACTAACTTGAGTTAATATATCTTGTGGAATTCTTTCAATTTCTCACTCTAATAAAATAGAGAATTATTGCAACATTTGACATCCATTATTATGGAAGTATAAACATGATATGATGCATTAGCTCACCATCTGTTATATAAGATATTTAAATTATTTTAGACGCGTCAAATTCCAAGTAGTCATCTTCAGTATCGGTATAAAAGAAAACAGAAAAATGCAATATTGTATGGTAGATTAAACTGCCGAAAACGCTGGGAGGGTTCACCACTGATGAGCCAGGCCCTCCCAATAATTTATCATTACAGTAAGGGCAATAGATAATTGTTTTATTTTAAAAAGAATCATACGTGTCTAAAATAGCTTCGGTTTTTCAGCATATAAACATAGAAATATACTTTACAAAAATAAAGATAAATCAAGAAAAACAACTAGAGATATTGGGGGATAGTTAAAAGTAATTCTATTCTTATATTGAATAAATATTGTTCTCTCCTATACCTTACTGTGATAATAGAATTTGTCTATTTACACTATACACGGGGAACACATTTTATAAACTAAAACAATTATTAAAAAAAAAAAAAACAGTTTCATGTCTTTTTAAACCATAACCCTTACTATACATATGTTCACTATCCTATTTTCACTAGTACTGTTTTCAGTGTAATCGTAATTTTAGTGATTTTTACTTCAACTGGTCTAGTTTAAATAGCGCTTATAATATCATTAGCCGAATGACCCGGGCAACGCCCGTGTTTTACCCGATTGAATGTTTTGATTCAAATACTATTTGTTACAATTATAAATTGGCGCCTTAAATAAATGCATATGTTAGTTAATAAATATAGCCTATGTGCTTTATCTGTCTATGTACTGTTGGCTTCCGTAGGCGTCTCTTACAGGGAAAAAGAAAGAGTGGATTCCATTTGGTTATTAACTAATATATGCATTTATTTAAGGAGCGACCCGCTCCAACACAATAATTACATAAACGAAAGGGCGAGTGGGGGGGGGGGGCAAAGGTGGCGTGACCGTAGCCAACCAATAGGAGAGCGCCATTCCTAAAAAAGCAAACGGTGACAGAGATGAAAACTGATGACTGATTGTTGATTAGGAGATGAGGAATGACGCTCGTAACTGTATATAGAATCATTTCAATTGTACCCTCTATCGATGCATTTTGACATTATTTTTTGGCAATATTATTCTTACGACATACACTCATTGACAAAACTTAAGAAAGTGGAAAGTCTTTGATGTTACCAATCGTTTTTTTTTTTTTTTTTTTTAAGATACAGAGGCAATTTTGTTCACACTAGGCTATCTCGTGGGCCTTCAATAAAGGTCACTGTGTATCAAATAATTTTCAGAGTTATTGTATCAATCCCGATATATATGTTAAAAAGTTAGAACTTTCTTAAATTGTTTACATAAGTGTAGATATCGGTGTAAATCTTGTAGCACATCAACAAGAAGCCTGGTGGAAGTTGCGGTGTGTTGAGAGGAAGGAAGGAAGAAGTGACAGCAGAAGGTTGACAGAGGTAGATAAAGATGGCCACAATAAAAGATGACAACAATGGGACCATCGTGGCTGATGGAGCGGACAGATACTCTCCAACTGACAGCCGGTCGATTCTGTCTATCCTCTTCTGTCTATGTAACAACCCTTTCTGGCGCCTGTCTGTCTGTGTTTTAGTGCCTCTCTACCAACCATCTCTGGTTTTTATCTGTCTATTTGCCAGCCCTTCTGGAGCCTGTTTGACTATACAACAACCCCTTCTGGTGTCTTTCTGTCATTGTAACCTCCCCCTACGGTGTACCTTTTGGCGCCTGTCTGTCTTTTTAATAGTATATTACGGTGCACCTTTTTGCGCCTGTCTTTGTAACCGCCTCCTACGATTCACCTTCGGGCGTGTGTCTGTCTTTGTAACAGCCCCCTACGGTACACCTTTTTGCGTCCGTCTGTCTTTGTAACAGCACTCTACGGTGCATCTTCTAGTGCCTGTCTATCTTTGTAACAGCACTCTACGGTGCATCTTCTAGTGCCTGTCTATCTTTGTAACAGCACTCTACGGTGCATCTTCTAGTGCCTGTCTATCTTTGTAACAGCACTCTACGGTGCATCTTCTAGTGCCTGTCTATCTTTGTAACAGCACTCTACGGTGCATCTTTTAGTGCCTGTCTATCTTTGTAACAGCACTCTACGGTGCATCTTCTAGTGCCTGTCTATCTTTATAACAGCACTCTACGGTGCATCTTCTAGTGCCTGTCTATCTTTATAACAGCACTCTACGGTGCATCTTCTAGTGCCTGTCTATCTTTATAACAGACCCATACAGTACACCTTATAGTGCTTGTGTTTCTATGTACCAACCCTCTCTGGTGTCTGTCTGTTTATGTGCTAGCCCTCTCTGTTCACTAAGAAAACCGATAAATCAGTCAGCAGGAAGAATTACATTTTTTACATAAATGTTAGATGTGAACTTCTCTGATATGCAAATAAATAAAGTTGCACACGTAAAAACCTCGTGAAATCTCAGAAAGAACAAGAGTGTAGAGCAACTTATTAAGTTTTATCTCAATTAATGTTCAATGAATATATAAATATTTTTAATTTTCTCAACAAAATATGTATAAGAATCGGGAATTAACAATAATCCTGATTGTAGGATTGTTAGATAACAATAAAGGCTATTAGACTCGAGGTCTACCTTATATCCTTGCTTTCTACCGAGGTCTGCAGTTAGAGACGAATGGACTTTTTCGTTGTGATCTTCCTAAAAGTTATTTCGATTACTATATATTGTTCTGTTTCATTCAATCTTTCTTACACCAATGACACATTTCATATTTGTATAGGAGTTGGGGCGACAGGAAGGTACCGCGCGCTGATCAGAAATATGTATTTAAGCCGTACAAGAAGTTTGAGAAGACCTTTTACAGAATGATTACACATTTCCAACATTATTACACATTCCCAATCCTATTACACATTTCCAACCTTATTACACATTCCCAATCCTATTACATATTTCCAATGTTTTTACACATTTCCAACCTTATTGCACATTCTCAACCTTATTACATATTTCCAACGTTTTTACACATTTCCAACGTTATTACACATTCTCAACCTTATTACATATTTCCAACGTTTTTACATATTTCCAACCTTATTACATATTTTCAACGTTATTACATATTTCCAACGTCATTACACACTTCCACCGTTATATATATATTACACATTTTCAACCTTATTAAAAAATTTTCAACGTTATTACAAATTTCACGTTTTCTCTATACACTTAATTTACGTCACATCACAAGGTTAACAGCTAAAGCTTATATAAGCGACCAAAGTTCTCCTCCCAATTGAGGAGACATTCCCTACGTGACAGGGGAAGTTCGGGAGTAGTTTAGTTGACACTAATAAATGGTTTCCAACATATTATTTGATAATTGGCGACCTGCCTGATGTGAACTCTCTCTCTCTTCTATTCCTTTGGAGAAATCCATCCGGATTCTACTCTTCGCTAATTCTTCTGTCAAATTATTTTACAAACATAAGCAGCTTTGAACTTTTCAGTTATGTGGAAATAATGTTGTTTATTTGTTAAGTGAACTTATCTCCCACGCCTTCTCTTTGGTCGAATGTGGTCTTGTAAAGGGGGTTTATATAGAATGCGAGAGGACTCTTCCAGGAGTTTGTTGTGTGGAGACACTTAAAGCGTTCTCTGTATTCGTGTCTGGTGATCTCACATACCCGTATAGCCCTGGTCCACTCCTTATCAGCGCTGCACTAAAAGATAAGTACTAGCTTTGTTATAAATAATCGTGTTTTTTTATTGTTATTTACGTCCTTCCTTTTTATTTTGCTCTACTTTTGAGTGCACGCGTTTCTGCGTGTTAAATTACTTTTACTTTAGACCTTAGTGCTTTTAATTTTTGTGTGTAACACGTAAAAGTAACTTTTGTCACTTCTAAGAAGATTTCAGCCAGGGAGAGACATCGCCCTTACTCCGGCCCCACTACGTAAGCTGATACTTCCCTCCCCCACACGTCTCTCTGGCCAACCTCCCTCATCGAAGCTCCCAGCTCTCTCCATGTGATGTCTAAAATACAAGGTTGTTCTCCACGCTATAGTATGTAAGGTGACCTATGTGTCATAAAGACTCCCCAGGGGAGGGAGAGAAACAAAAGGGATCACCATAAGAAAGTGACGGAAGAAACAACGGAAATTGGCCTTTTCCTTCCTGAAGGTCCGCCCGCATCCATTGATCTTTCCATCGAATGGCGGCCGTCCGGGAGGACTTACCTCTGTGCGGGGTGGGAAACTCACCTTCAATTGGAGGAAGGGTTTTTTGTTGTTCGGGGATCTGACAATTTGACTTATAAAATATTGACAGCAATGCTGATTCAATCCGTTATGGTTTACTTTGTTCTGCGTGAAAAAGCATTTATTGTCTTCTGGAAACTTTTTAATTCTTGGTTGAAATTATCGAAAATGTCTTTTGAAGGTTTTTTTACCCCGCAGGGTGACTCGAACCACAAGGCGGGTAACACCTAATGATAAGGATCCTGCACGATGCACCATTGATGTTTTTATTTTTATTTATTATTATTTTTTGCTTATCCCTAGTACACGTGGTACAGGCCATGATAATCATGGTGGGTAATTAGCGACTGCTTTTTACTGTAAGCGCACCACATGTCTACACATGTGAAAAGCAGTTCGACTTTGCACTTACCAATGCCAGAGCCCCGTTTGGTTACTTGCACTCGCTGGTGGGGTTGGACTTTTGCAAGAATCGGGGGCCTTGGAGCATTTTTTTTTTTTAACAGAAAAAAGTGTCCAATGCGGGAATCGAACCCGGGTCCTAGTGGTCGAAAACCAAACGGTTTAACCAGCGATGTTTTTATTACTCAGGTGACTCGAACCAGGGCGGGTAACACCCAATAATGAGGATCCTGCACGATGCACCATTGATGTTTTTATTCCTCAGGTGACTCGAACCAGGGCGAGTAACACCCAATAATGAGGATCCTGCACGATGCACCATTGATGTTTTTATTCCTCAGGTGACTCGAACCAGGGCGAGTAACACCCAATAATGAGGATCCTGCACGATGCACCATTGATGTTTTTATTCCTCAGGTGACTCGAACCAGGGCGAGTAACACCCAATAATGAGGATCCTGCACGATGCACCATTGATGTTTGTATTCTTCAGCTGACTCGAACCAGGGCGAGTAACACCCAATAATGAGGATCCTGCACGATGCACCATTGATGTTTGTATTCTTCAGGTGACTCGAACCAGGGCGAGTAACACCCAATAATGAGGATCCTGCACGATGCACCATTGATGTTTGTATTCCTCAGGTGACTCGAACCAGGGCGAGTAACACCCAATAATGAGGATCCTGCACGATGCACCATTGATGTTTGTATTCTTCAGGTGACTCGAGCCAGGGCGAGTAACACCCAATAATGAGGATCCTGCACGATGCACCATTGATGTTTGTATTCTTCAGCTGACTCGAACCAGGGCGGGTAACACCCAATAATGAGGATCCTGCACGATGCACCATTGATGTTTGTATTCTTCAGATGACTCGAACCAGGGTGGGTAACACCCAATAATGAGGATCCTGCACGATGCACCATTGATGTTTTTATTCTTCAGGTGACTCGAACCAGGGCGGGTAACACCCAATAATGAGGATCCTGCACGATGCACCATTGATGTTTTTATTCTTCAGGTGACTCGAACCAGGGCGGGTAACACCCAATAATATGGATCCTACACGATGCACCATTGATGTTTGTATTCTTCAGCTGACTCGAACCAGGGCGAGTAACACCCAATAATGAGGATCCTGCACGATGCACCATTGATGTTTGTATTCTTCAGGTGACTCGAACCAGGGCGGGTAACACCCAATAATGAGGATCCTACACGATGCACCATTGATGTTTTTATTCATCAGCTGACTCGAACCAGGGCGAATAACACCCAATAATGAGGATCCTGCACGATGCACCATTGATGTTTGTATTCTTCAGGTGACTCGAACCAGGGCGGGTAACACCCAATAATGAGGATCCTGCACGATGCACCATTGATGTTTGTATTCTTCAGGTGACTCGAACCAGGGCGAGTAACACCCAATAATGAGGATCCTACACGATGCACCATTGAAGTTTGTATTCTTCAGGTGACTCGAACCAGGGCGAGTAACACCCAATAATGAGGATTTTGCACGATGCACCATTGATGTTTGTATTCTTCAGCTGACTCGAACCAGGGCGGGTAAGTCCCAATAATGAGGATCCTACACGATGCACCTTTGATGTTTGTATTCCTCAGGAGACTCGAACCAGGGCGGGTAACACCCAATAATGTACACCATGTACCAGCCGGATGGTATGTAATGGGATCTCCCCGTACTAAGCCGAGCCACAATTAAGGTGAGTGACGGAAGAGCAATAAACACCTCGCCTTTTTAAACCATCGATCACGGCATTGATCGGGAGGTGAAGTTAATCGCTCGGCAAACATTCCTTCCTTCGCTAATGAGATGGATGACTCACGCTCCTTCATCCCACGTCTCCGCTACTGGCTGGGTTTGCTGCTGAGGGACCACATAGCAGTCTATCTGGTCTACAATAGTCTAGGTTGTTATACGATATAGAGGGAACACTGGGGAGAAGACGAATGTGTAGATAGAGATTTTCACTTGAGAGACCGCTGAAAATTTGTCTAAACTCGCGGCCTCTCCTGGAGGTTGTCTCTTTTTAGAAACTATCATGTCAGGCTAAGTGAGGAGGGGTTTCTCAACAGAAACAGAGCCTCTTGTGATGAACAACCTCCAGAAGAGACCCGGTTTAACCATTTTTACAGGCTATGACCTCTCATGAATTCCTACTGTACACCCGTGGTAGCTTGAAGACAGTTTGCTATTCAGACGCCAATATACACTCATGGATATAACTTAACCCTTATTGCGCTCAAATAGGAAAGATAATTTTGTGCTTTTTGGGCCCGTGTATGAATAGGGGTGTCAGCAGGAGTAGGTTCTGAAAGGTGAAGCATCCAAAATATTTGTATAAGTGTATAATGTATTATATATAATATATAAAAGACAGAAAGAATGAATTTAAGCTGTTTTCGTCCTTTCTTAACTTTATTTTTTAAATCGACAAATATTCAATTACCCAGTAATGCTTTAAAATAGGAACAACTGGTTGTTGGGCAATGCGATCTACACCCATGTACAAAACTTAAGGAAGTTTTTGCATGTATATCGGGATTCAGACAATAACTCTGTAAGATATTTGATACACAGTGACCTTTATTGAAGACACATGAGATAACCATGTTTGAACAAAATTGCCTCTGTCTCCTTCATAAAATCAGACGACCGGCGACATCAAAGATATTCCACTTCGTTTAGTTTTGTCAATGAGTTTAAGAGACCCGATGTGGATAATCTCTCTCCACACAGATACTGTCCTACTGAAGATATCCTTTGAGGAGAACTATCTCAGAACTAGTTCAAAGAAAAACTCTTTCTTTTGGCGTGAAGATTCGTACTTAAAACACACCCACACTGAGAGAAAGAGCCACTCAATTTAAAAAGAATTACCATCAGAACATGTGGCTAATAATGGGAAATATAACAATAAACATACATTTCATTGATAGAGAGAGGCGTCTTAATATTATAAAATACTTTTATAAGGAGAGGATCTTTTATATTTGAAATACAAATGGTTAAATCTCTCTTCGACAGGCTGATATCAAGAGAGAAACGTAGACTATTCTCTAACTAGAATAATCTACGTGTGTACGACTGTAGCGGGGGTATTTACATGAGTAATGTCTTCAAATATTTTATATTTTTATAAATAAATACATCTCAAAAATCAGTCTACTTTCATGGACAAAACCTAAGGAACTGGAAAGTCTTTGATGACGCCCTGAAGGAGACAGAGGCAATTTTGTTCACACTTGATTATCTCGTGTGTCTTCAATAAAAGTCACTGTGTATCAAATATCTTTCAGAGTTATTGTCTGAATCCTGATATATATGCTAAAAGTTACAAATTTTTTAGGTCTTGTTCATGAGTGTATATAACCTAAATTTCATTTTAGCTAAAAACTCGAGCTAGCTTTCAATAGAATCATATATCAGTAATATATAGAAAGACCTAATGAAAATGAAAGTTTCATGTAAGACAAAATTAGCGATATGCTGTGAATGTAGTTGTACTGAAGAAGGGTTTTCTGAAGGACTCAATGAAAGGAATCTCGACGAAGACAAGCGTGCCATGGGAGTCAGGTTACCTCGAGCGGGACGACCTTGGCTTACTCAGCGCTCAAATTCTTCCTTCTGGAGCAAGTCGATCTTACATTGGGCTCATTTCCCATTAGTCAAATATCTCTTTTTCACTATATATCACCTTTATAAACGAAATGGGCCATCAAGGATTCAATTTTCACTATATATCATCTTTATAAACGAAATTAAATACTGAATCTCACGATTTTTTTTTTTACTTCAAATTAAACAATTCTCTTATCCTCCTTACTGTGACGGAACATATTTGGAGGGCCTGGCTCATCAGTAATGTCAGATATGTAAGTAGACTCGTTTAAAACAAAAGTTGAGCTCTAAAAAACGGTTTGATAGATTAAACTGGCGAAACTGCTGGGAGGGTTTATCAGTGATGAGCTAGGCCCTAATCAATATTTTCCCGCGCAATGTGGATAGTAATATGTTTGTTTTATATGAAAAAGAAAACAAATTGCGATTAATTGCATGTTAATTCCGACAAAAATGAATTGTTTATTTCTATAGCATTTAAATATCATCGTTTTAACCACACCGAGTTCAACTTAAAGGTTTCAAGATTTACTCCATCTCAAAGAAACTTGATACAGAAACCCACATGTGTAGTTTTCTAGCCATTTATTCTTCAAAGATAAATTGAGTATGTAGAAAAGTCTTTAGAAAGGGGGGGAGTTGTCACATCGTGAATAAATGGCCGCAATAAAAAGTAATTCATTAAAAAATCTCGAGTTATTTCCGCAGTTTTCTGTGAAAGGCCTTATTGAATAGGGTTTCCTTTTTTTTAAGAGTGAAGGGGCTGTTGCTTCGGGTTTTTTTAGTGGCGCTTGTCTCTCCCCATTTCTTGTCCTATTGGTTGAGACGGTCACTTGGGACACTCCTTGTCTCGACAAGATATCGACTTTATACATTGGTAGGGTCACTTGTACATTTGGGGAATGTCTGAGGAACACTTCATATTTTAACCTATGTAGATAAACATGAAATTTGTATTGGTTTGTTCCGTAAAAATGTCCACAATAGTTGACCTATCGAATCATAGTTTCGATCAAGGATTATGCAAATTCGACTTCCTATAACTTAAATACATAACCGACTAATTCACATATTTCGAAAAATGGGAAAATTATAATGGGGTAATATATTGATTCATTCTTATCATCAAAGATTAAGATAATAAATGTAAACTATTTTGTTTTGACACGTATGATTATTTTAGAAATGAAACAATATACAAAATACTGCCCTTACTGCAATATTGAATTAATGGAAGGCCTGGCTCCTCAGTGGTGGACACTAATATAATATTGCCACGTGAAAAATTAGGGAAGACAAAAACTTCAGGAGGAGACAAAATTTATTTCAGGCAAGAATAAACTATGAATGGACAACAAAAGATAAGCCACGAGGGAAATTTACAGAGTAGCAAAATATAAACATAAAAATGACCACTCTGTTAATAAAAATAATAAAATTAATATATTTGTTACAATATAATAGATAATAATTACTACTCTATCTCATATAGCCGGCATCTCAAATTCTTCGATTCAATAAATTCGTTATAGAAAATCATATCTACC